GACAACTCTAACATTAATAAGATTGTGGTTGTGGGGCTCAAAACCAAGAGAAATTCATATATAACTATACAACTTGATTATATTTAGGGTTTATAGGTTAATAATGAACAACCTGCAATCCCTGAAGCTTAAAATGCAAGACAATATGTATAGAGTTTAGTGCAGAATTGGTGGTTGGTGTTGGTGCATGTGCAATGCGCTCGGAAGAAAGCATTGAACTTAAAAGAAAATAAATATATACGACTATTCGAGAGCAGATGATGTGGCATGTACTGATCAACAAGTTATTGAAATTTAGTAAAGTTTTAATTAAATGGCTAATTGTATATGATTACCCACACACGTGTTTGCATATCATTGACAAAACCGCCAACTCAAACACATTAAACCACCATACAATTAAAAAACACTGCTCTTTGTCTTCAGTGCTTCTTTGCTTCATTTAGTTGCAAAGATGAATAGTTTGATCACGCCCTTTCAAAAAATATTAAAAATTGGGGTCACAAGAGATCAATTATATATACACTATATATAATTATACGTTGTGTTTTAAAATGTATATTTTGGTTAAGAGTTACAATAAACATTTATTCCGTGGTTAATACTAAACAAAACTGTAAACTTTGTCTTTTAATGTTATTGACTCCAAAAACAATACCGACGAAATTGTTAGCAATAAGAATATCTTTATCATCTTTGCAATATATATAACATACTTCATCCAAATTGCAATACAATCATGATTAATCATATATACATGGAAAGTTAAAATTATATAACAAACACTTTTGATCTCATGATTGTATCTAATCTCTATTGTTATTTGTTTTATTTCTGAGTCAATCTATTAGAATGAAGAAATGGGTTTTCCTTTCTGACTTCCTTTTCACTAAAATGTTTCGAAATATGAATTAATGTTGTAGATAACCATGGTAAATCTAAGTCATGCTGAGCTTATTATATACAAACTATATGAACACAGGGCCCCATTATTGGCACGAGCTGGTTTTACTGAAGCAACTGCTGCATGCCTTCGAGGATCGCTTGAAGAATGATAAAGAATTAAAAACCGATCAACAGTTAAAACAAATATATACAATCAACTACAGAAAGGGAATGATGGAAAGTTTAGCTATACATCATAATACATGTTAAACGGAGATCCAGGAATTAAAGCATGAAAGACAAAACCATCGATCTGCAGTTCCTCAGCCTTTGAATCATTGCACATTATAAATTTAATCTAAAACCTATATACTTACTTATTATTTGTACAAACGGAAGAAATTAATCCGGTCAAACGAACAGATACAATCAATAAACTTCAATATATTTGTTACAAAAAAAAATAATATAATAATTCTATATAACTGTTGGGATTTAAGGTTGGAATAGAAAGGTTTGATTGATATTATTAATGAGATGTTAAATATAGGATGATTTGAAGCAGGAGCTTGGAAGAAGGAGCCATGCAACTGGGAATGGAGTGATGAGTCAGTGCGCGTGCGTGAAGCTTTGCGCATGATCCTATATAAAAGAGCCAGCCGTAAGAAGTATATAATTATTGGTTCCAAGTTTCATAGACTGCTGTGAATTTATAAATGTGCCATTGATTTACAAGCACAATGACAAACAATGGGGTCTCAGAAATTGCATGCCAAGTTTTGTTTTCTTAATTAATCATCATTTTTGCTTATTATAATGTTGACCCTGTTTGACCCACACATACTTGGTTATAATTAATTATTTATAAAATTATCTAATCCAAGTTTCTTGAGAATGATGTTGTTGCTTAGTTAGGTACATCTTCTCATGCATTTGCTTAAGAAATACTGTGTTTAACATCGACCATGACTTAATCCTAGTAGTATTGTTTAAGGCTTTCGATGATATAGCGAAAAATTCTTGAATATACCTTCACAAGGAAAGAGAAAATTAATATCTAATAGAATACAATTTAGATCGTTTGGGGATACGGGAAAAATTCATTAGAAGGGGAACAGAAAGAAAACACAGTAATTCATGAAGAAGTTGGCCTATATTGCATACGGAATATGAGTGTTTAATATGAGATTTCGTTCTTACCCAAACTTCATGGGCCCATCAATTGTGGTGGATCCATTAATTCATAGTAACTTTGCCATGGCTCAAATCACCACTTGTTTCACCTTTCATAGCGTATATATCTTCTTAGTATAGAAGATATCTATCCTGCGATCAAGCTTTATGATCGATCACTTTCTTTCTATTTATGATTTGAGTTTACTCCACTCAACTTTATAATTAATTATAGACTCAATTATAATTTGTTTTTGAGAATTAAATGATAAAGATAGTAATAGAGAACTCATTAGAAACTTTAGTAAAGACAAATCGCTTACTTATAGATTCAACAACATAACTGTACGTAAGTTTGCATTATAAGTATCTGAACTACTTTAAAAAGTTTTCTTGTTCTTGATATTTATCAGGATTACCACATATTATACGTGGTTCAACCATTGTAAATCTCTGATTATGGATTTTATGCATCTAACTATCTCTTAGTCCATTTTTATCCCTCTTGCTTGGAGTGAGTGAGGTGAGAATTGCAGATGAAGCTGTAGATTAAATTGTCAAAACATTTGCACCGGTAGCAGGAGGGACTGCTATCGAATTTCAATTTTTTTTTTTCTTAATTGATTCGACCGTCACTTTTGCCCGTAAGGAAGGGAGCATTTTTTATTAAATGTCAAATGTCAATATAAGATTCATCCAACATAATAATAATTAGTTGCTTTTGACAATTTAAGTAATCTCTAATTCTTTTTGTTGAATATTTAATAATATTTTCCAAATTCAAGATATATATTCTTGGTCTAGTCAAAATTTTTCTCTAGCTTACTTATATGTTTGAAGTAACAATAATCATGCATTGTAACCCAATATAATATTAAATTGATAACTTGATTATTAAAAGTTAAAACCAATAATGTTCAAAGTTACTAAAATTAAAGTGTTCAAATTAACACCTCAAAATGTAACTTTCTAGTGTCTTCTCACAGCAGCCTCTTTTATTAATTGCAATTATTTTATAATTAAGTTTATTGCAGGCATATTGGACCCTGATTAAGACTAGCACTAGCTGCCAAGCTCTTCTTATCTTAATTAAGCTTCAATTAAGAAGTTGGTGTTTGTCTTTTTTTCTTGATCAAGTTATTAAACTAAATTAACCGGCATTTTTGACTTTCACCTTTGCAAAGATACATATATTATTGCATTTGAAGTAATTAAGTAATTAAATAAATAATAAAAAACACATAATTACAATGTATTTGTTATATGAACAATAATTTGGAATTTAATTTAGTCAAATATACAAAGAAGTAGAATACCAGCCTGGTTGAGAGGCTGGACTGTAACACAGTAACAGCCAGATAGGAACAAGAATCGAGTTGTTGTTTCTTATATAATTAGCAGATATATTATTAGTTTATCAATAGAGTTGGTCTTATATGGTACAAATTTACACTTTTTAGAGCCGTAAATTGACCCAAAAAATACCGCCCCGTCACATTATTTCAGTCAATGTTTTTCTTTTAAAATGGATAATCCATCTTTTTATTTTAATTTACTAGCAATTAATATAATGTAATTGCCAACTCAACGACGCCTACACTAATTAAAATAAATAATTTAATCAGGGTATAATCAACTCATCCATCCGTAGATATCCCAAATAGTCGTGATGCTAAATTAAAAGATATGACGGTGTGTTTCTGTATTAGTCTCTTTTGACATATGTGTAAGGTAGATCAATTCAACAAATTCATATGTGAGATAGATAGATTGAAATTTTATCTTATTTATAATAATCATTCTACTAAACATTATCAAATTAAATTAATCCTATTAACACAACTCAACATCTATACGCAAGTGACCAATTGTTTTTACAAATTAATTAACAGCCAAGTTCATACGTCTTTAATTATAGTAATTAATTAAAGTTAATTAGAATAAGGATGAAGCAAACTAGTGAAAATAAATATTTAAAATGCCGCCAGAAACGCCCAAGAAACAGCGGATTAAATGAAGGGAAATCATGAAGCTCCCTGAGGTTTGAGAGAATTTTCACACCCCCACAGGTTTTAAAAATTGTAAGAAGAATATATATCCCTCAAGGTTGTTAATCAACCATATGAAGTACATTAATATCCCTATGATTGGTCTTGGCATGGCTAATTGACAGCATTGAAAGTAAGTTTGGCAAAATTTTAAATCACTATTATTAACACGATATGAATCCATTCGATTAAAAACAATTGTTAGATTTAATTTTATCGATCAAATCACTAACGGATCAATACATTATAAAGAGTTTAACATGGCTCCGGGGTGTTTTGATGCTGATCTAAAACATCATTTTATATATTAATTGAGGTTTTTTTAGTATTTTTATCATAAGTATCTATAAAATTATGTTAATTAATAGGAAATTACTCTGATAATTTGTGTATTATTCAGATGTTATAACCATTAAACTTCACTGTCTAATTCTTTGTGAATTACATCACGCTTTATTTCATTATTTGATTGAATTATAAAAGGAAATAAATAACGGATTAATGAATCGGATTCAAGTTACACATTAAAATAGCGTAGGATCCAGATTTTATATTTAAACCTAATAAGCTAACGAGTTGGTTTTGAACGAAAACGTTTGATAACAGAAGAGCAAAACGACATTGATCCTCTTTAACATGCATGATTCATTATCAAACGTATGTACCTAATGCTGGGAGGAGATATTCTTACAATTTATAAACATTTGGGTGCACAAGACTTTTACGAAACCTCGAGGGAGGTAAATGAAGTTATCCATATATTATAGAAGATAGGGATGGCAGACCATTTTTTCAAACACCAAAATGCGTCAATTCGATCCACTGGGTTAAATTGTCAACGGTCAGAATCGCTGGCTCCGTCTTTCAAAACTAACCTCCTATATAATATTTCATTTCATCTCCATTTTCAACCAAAACCCTTCTCTTTAATCCCTCTAAATCCTGAACCAACTTGAATTCAATCACCAACACCACCACCACCATGAGCCCTACAAAGTTCCACGAAGATCACGATCATCATTACGAGCGTTCAAGAAGTGGCAACAAAGAGTTCATCAATGGCCATCGTCCATCTCCATTGAAGATCAATAAAGAGTCTCACGCCATTCAGAAATCATTGTATTCATCGTTTACTTCTTCTTCAACCTCATCGTCTTTAACCGCCTCTTTACCCGGGATAGTTCATAATGTTAATAACAAGCGGCGGCAGCCGGTTGTTATATACATGCATTCGCCAAAGGTTATTCATACGCAGGCTAGGGATTTCATGGCTTTGGTGCAAAAACTCACCGGACTTTCAAGCTCCGGTCGCCGCGATGATGATCAAGAGCAAAAAGAAGCTGCTGATAATAATAATAAGAACCCTAATCTTGGTCATAATGAAACAGAAAAGCGTGTTGATTCATCATCTGTAAGTGTTTCGCCCGTTATGAATGCTCCAAGAAATCCATTTCTGGCTGATATTCCTCTTTTCACTCCGAATTCAACTGATTTCTTCTGCTCGCCGAGGCCAATGTATAGATTTTCTGATTACACTTCGCCAAGTATGAACAATCCTATCTCGCCTTCGGTGTTTGAGTTCATCAAGGAATTACCAGAATATTAAGAAGATTAATTATAATATCTCTAGTCATTAGTTCTTTGCAAATATATCTCAGCTAGCTAGGTTTGTTCTTGTTTTTAATATGTTCATTACTTAATATTTTTCAATAATGTTTTTGTTTTTGGGTTCTTAATCTGTGTATTATGAAGTGATTTATTTCATTAATTCTTTAAAACATTCACATTCAAATCTGTCTGTAGAGAATATCGGCAAAATTTTGGAGGAATTATAGTTTAATTTTAGTCCATGAATAAGAAAATTAAATATTGTTTAGCCACCGAACCACGCTTGATTAATTTATTTAATCTTCGGCGGCCAACTTTTGACCTTTCTAGTGGCCAGATGTATATGTATCAATGTCCCCGATTAGTCAAATGTGTGTATGTTAATCGTAGACAAAAATAAATAAAATCAAAAAGCAAGAATAATACTATTGAACGTACGAATAACGAAATAGTAAAAGAAAAAGAAACACGCGTGATTTATCTTAGTTTATCCAAAATCGGGCTACATTCAACAGAGTTAATATTCTTTCAATATTTTTTCACCGCTCTCGTTACAATAAATGTATTTGTTATGATTTTTTATATCACTCGTACAAGAGAATAATATGTTTATATACTTTACTAGGTTTATGAAGAGAAACTTAAAACTATTAGGATTTATATTCTTAAGTTAAACCCTATTAAGAGTTCTTTTTTTTTTAGAATCCTACAGCGGCTATTCACGACATTAACCCAAATCGCTTACGATTTCCAAGGCGTTGCCTCGTACCTTTGCTCGCTCACTGGGTAGCAAGACCCCGTGAGCATCACCCCTTATAAGCGAACCTCTTATTGTTGAAGTGGTAGCTAATTCCAACATTTTTTTAAGGTGGAAATGGAAAGGCCAGATAGATTTAAATTTCATTAAAAAAATTTCAAGTATAATCTAATAATAGGTAGTAATAGTTGGATTTTGTTTTGGTAATTGACAACTTTCTTAGTGTATTCATGAGTTGTTAATTCCACCAAAATCTAGTCAGTATAAATCGGTTCAAATTTTAAAGGCCTCGTTTGGATTGAGAGATTTTAAAATCCATGAATTTTGTACAATCCATGAATTCAAAATCCATGTATTTGATAAATTTTATTGTTTGGTTTAAAAATAAAATTAATGGATTGTTGATTCAAATTTTCATGTACCCACGTTTGGTTAGATAAATACAGTCCATAAATTTGATAAATAATTTCCAACTTTACCCTCAATATACAAACTCAACAAAAATTCCAACTTTCATTTAATTACTAAAGATGTTGATGATGTAAAAGAGAAGAGCTCAAAAAGAGAGAACGACTAATATATTTCTTTTAATTAAGGTAAAAGGTAATTACTGAAATATTAAATTCTTAACAAGGATAGTATTGGAAAATTAAAATATTAACAAAATCCTCAATTTTATTAAATCTGATAGATTTGACAAAATCCCACCTACCAGGTGGGATTTTAAAACCTCCAAAAATGAAGGATTCTGGAGGGTGGTGGATTTTCCAAAATCCATGGATTTCAACTTTTTTTTTTTTTTTTGGTTTTTAAACCAAATGAAGGATTTTACCAAATCTATGAATTTAAGGAAATAATTTATTTAGAATCCCTCGATCTAAATGAGGTCAAAGAGATTTACTGAAGATTTTAAAGCGTTGGTTACTTATGCTAAAGTTTTCAACAAACTTTGAGATCTTCTAGTTTTTATATGGCAACTATAAAAAGTGAAGAATAATGTTCCACAAAGTATTTAATTAATTAAATTAATTTTTGTAATTCATAACACATAAATAGCTTTGGAATGACAATATGACATGGTAAGGTAAAATGCTTCGCCTGCATTACGTCAGGATATATTTTTTAAGGCTCTCGGATTAACTGGGCCTACAATTAGCCCATGGTCATTTCCAGAAGCCCAAAAAATGCGGCCCAAGTTTATGGAAAGCTTGATTTCAAATCTACAANAAAACTGAAAAGGCTACGAAACAACACCGGGGACGGTGAAGCCCACAAGGTGGTGGGAGTCTGGTCTATAATTGTGGCTAAGTTTGGGTGGACCCGACCAGCCCAGAGGCGGAGCCGGAGGTGCAGGGTGGATATGAGGGCATTATTGCATTATAGCAACATTACCATGAACAAGAAACTCTCCAATGTTTCATAATGTTTTCTGTTGCATCTCACTCATAAATATTTTAATTTTAATTGTGGCTGTTGTGGTTCTTTATTGCTGTATATATTGGTTCGAATATGTGACAGAGATATTAGGGAGGTTCGGACAGAGAGAGCTCAGAGAACTGGGGATTCATTGACAAACCCAAATTATGTAATTCCCAGGAAGCCAATGGTTTTATTCTATGTGATGGGAACTGTATATATATCTATCTTTGGTAGTGGGTTTAATCGGTCATATCATATCTTTTGAAAACCAAAAAAAAAAAAAAAATCCGATTTCTTTTTTCTATAAGTAATATTAATTATTTTATAATGCACACGCTCCAAATTTAATAAAATAACACATCCCATACCATAACATATAATTTCATTTCATTCTCACAAATCCATTTTGAAAACTTCTTCATTCATTCTCTCCTTCATCCACTTTCCATTTTCTCTTTGTAAATTCTCTCTCTTGGTGAGTGCAGCCTCTCTGTCGCAACAGCAGCAGTACTATTTTCACTCCTCAAAACATCGCCACCTCAAACCCCTAGTACTATTTCTCACCAAAACAGCAACAACAATTGGAAACGTTTCATTTGCTTCCCAAAAACAGTTTCTCACAACACACCGATGACAAATCATTTCTTCCTTCCTTCTATTTCTCTCTAGAAACAGCAATACTTACATTAGCAGCCAGCCTGTCTTTATTTTTGTTTTTTAAAAACATTTTTTATGCTATGAGACTTGCATTTTCACCATCTCCACCAACTACTACTACTACCCGTCACCAATTACATTACTCTTTTCTTTCACTTTCATTCCTCCTTAAACGACGGCGTTCAACTTACNGTTCAAACTTCAAACCCATTCATTTTCGAGGAAGGAGAGTTTTCTACTTGTTTTTTCAATAAGAAGAAATTAGGGTTTCATTCAAAATTTGACCACAACGCGGATATACTATGCTCTCTATATGAATCTTGATGTATCTAGAACATATTTTATTTTTAACATTGTTAATTGAAACGAAACATAATTTATATGATTATCTAACCACGACATGACACATCAACACGTGTTACACAGTTACGTTAATTTAGTTGAACATTGTCCGATTTCACGTTATATTACGTGTCCCCTGTCTTAATAATTTGCATAAAAAGGAATCAATAAAGATTTACCGTAAAGATACGCAACAAACAACATAAAAATAAATAAATAAAATATTAAAGCATAAATAAGAATTTATTTAATTATTGGATAAATAATAAATTATTTACAAGTTGTTTTAATGTTCTTTTTTTCTATATTATAAATTCTTCAAGTTGACTCCAGAAAACAGTCCTCCGTTACAATAACAGCGTCAGCATCCCACCACGTGTCCACGTCATTCTCCGTTACATCCTCTAACGGCGAGTTAACTTTCCTCATATCACCCACAGTTAACGCGCTGTTGACGTTATCTCTCACGTAAAGTTTCGCCACGCCGCCGGCTTTGACCCCTCCAACGATATTCCCCAGTTTTGGTCTCCACTCGGCCAATATCGCCGGTAGTTTAGATCCGATACGCATGTCCCAACCACTCAACGCCACACCTCCGCCTTCATTCTCCGCCGCGGAGAATATCACCGACGGACATGCTGACGATGTAGCAACAAAAGCGGGAATATCATGTTTCCGGTGAAAATCAGTAGCGATATTTCGGATTTCTCGTTCGTTATTCATATCATAAATCGTCAACATATTTCCCGAAACATTACCCGTATCGTCGTCTTCAACATTCAAACCTAATCCTAAACCTAGATTGTCCCATAACTTGACAACACTCTTACCACCGGTAAGCTCCGACCAAGAAAAAAAGTCTCCGATGCTCCTCCTACAACGTCGTCTAAGACCCAAATTACGGTTTTGCCATTGCTCATCTGTATAAACATGACCGGAACCTCTTACACGGAAGTCATTTTGATCAACTGCAGTGTCGTCTTCATCATCTTCGCTAAGATCATATTCTTGTTCATCGTCTGAGGACGAACAAGAGGCGACATCTGTATCTGAATCGTAATCGGAGTCGTCAAGAAGAGGGTGGTGGAATTGTGGAGCTAAATAGGGGTATTTTTGTAATCTAAGGATTAAAAGTTTGATTTTTGTGACGATGGTGGTGAAGGAAGCTATAAGGGCGAGTATTAAAGCGCCCCACTTCCAGAAACTGTAAACTTGGTGAAGCTTTCCGAGGCCTGAAACTGCAGAAACTTGTGAGAGAAGAGACGGGTTGTGGAGAGGTAAGCTGTCTATGTTGGTTTCGAAATCTATTATTCTATTGACAACAGGAATCTCCATGGCTACAACAACAGAAAAACAATAAAACAGAGAAGAAAAATGACGAAAAAAAATGAAGCAAAGAGGTGTTTTGGAGAGAAATTGAAGAAGAGTGTGAGAGACAGATGAGTTACAGAGAAGAGAGGAGGTTTAAGAAGGCAGGTGAGTTGGGCATTTATAAAGATAAGCTGGATGGAGGTTGGGGTTCAAATGATAAAATTGAAAAAGTCTTGGTGGAAGACGAAGTACTTAATAATATTTATTTGTTTTTATATATATATATATATATTTTTTTTTTTTATATAACTGATTTTTTATTTTCGTTATTTTTAAGCATACAATATATTATTAATAAAAAAGAATGGTTGATGTGGCAGATAAAGATTGGGTGGATGGTGGAGATGTTGGACACGTCAGAAAAGGCGGGAGACCTTTTTGGAATAAGAATAAGAAAAAGAATAGGCAGATAGGGACAGAGGAGTCAGCACGAACCCGTATTTTGCATTATTTAATAAATTTAATCATTAAAGTGGGGCCGTTGATGAGTCATGTAATCGGACGGACATGAAATCTCATCCTCTAATTTTTAACTCATAATTTTATATAATTGATGGTGGAGATGTCAGTGACGGTTTCAAC